GGGGGTAGCGGGGGTAGCGGGGGTAGCGGGGGTAGCGGGGGGGATGGTGCACTGCCCACGACGTGACTCTGACAAGCGCCACTTCATTTTGTTGTGTGTTATGTTTTCCAGGGAATGGTCCAAGACACACGGCACGACCAACATTTCGGCTCTCGTCGAAACGCTACTTCAGACACATGATCGAATTTTCCGTATACGATCTCGAATACTCCACTCAATACGTTACAAGACGTGCTGAATGGCAATGACAATCTTATAATTCAATGCGACTTCCCTTAACTACCCCCGAGCAATTCTCAATCACACCGTCTTGCCCAACCCAACTGAGGCTTACACGGCCCCCCCCCCCCCCCCCCCCCCCCCCCCCCCACACACACACACACACACACACACACACACACACACACACACACACACACACACACACAGAGAGAGAGAGAGAGAGAGGTCGTTTGGACTCGCTTGCTTTTATCGTTAAACCCAGAAAAGGAAAAAGAAGTGTAAAGAGAAACTCCCCAATGCCAAGCATTAGTGTCTGACATCGGAATGAGAATACTTCTTATGCACCGAGGGAGAGATGTGCTGACAAGGTAGGTAACATATGTGAAAGTCTCTCGGAGAGAACAGGGCAGTTGCTACCCAACTGCACTCAGGAGGCCACGATACCCTTTTTTTTCTTTTTTCTTTTTTTTTTTCGAGTCTGACTATAGATTGCGAACAGATGTGGAAGTATCTCATGCTTTTTGCTTTTGTTTGCAAGTCTTTTTCCATGTTTTTGCGGGCGGAGCCGCAACAGCTCAGTCAGTGTGACTAGAGATGACGAAGATCGACGGCCAGGGAGGCGGAATAAAGAAGTAGACGCCACGGTTGCCTTTGGTGTCAGACAGTGTGCACAAGCCCATCTGCATATCCCCGTTCGTAATGGTCACTCACCTGGTCGTCATATCGGCCAGGTGCCTTCTGAGACGAAGGTCGATCCTCGAAAGGCGCGAAGCATTATCCGCGTGACCAAGGTCATCTGTTAATGGGGCAATTATGGTATTCCAGGCTCGATGAGTGGCAAGTGCGTCCGGTATCTCGATCGGTCATTCCGAGACACAACGGGGTTCAGGCGGGGCTACATCTCCCGCCAAATCTGGAAAACGCGAGTCTAATTTCCGGCCAAAATTTTCGCAGTTGGCGGGAGATTGCTGCAGCAAGACCCGAACTTTTGCGTGTGTGCTCCGGCGCGCGTGCGAAAGTGCGATCGCCCGCCTATCGATCGTTTTAGCAAGGAATGTGGCCGCGGTTGCAGTCAGATGCGTGCTGGGAAGTCCTGATTACCAGTGTGAGTATATCCATCCTCCTCTCGGGCACTGAAGCGCGGGTGTGCGCGCGCAGAAACTTTTCTTTCTTATCTTATTAATAAGTGCCAGATCCCACGAGTCCCTATTGTTCATTTCTGACCGTTGATCTTCGTAATCGAGGGTGAAAAATGAATAAAAAATCCACTGTAGTGGGATCTGACACTAATTAGACACCTGTTTTCCGCAGGATCCGAACCCCCCATCTGTTCTGTCCGAACGCCACGTGTCGATGACGTCATTCTTTAGGAGTTCCCGCCTTACGGATGAAGCCACAGCCGAGCAAGGTTACGATCTGCAGGTATTATTCAAAGAATAAAATAATGTTGGACCGTTTTCTGAATTACAGTATATATGATGTGTTATTTGCTTTGTGATAATTGGATTATCTTTCTTTCCCTGTCAGGTTTGGTTTCCTCCTCCCCTTCTTTACCTCTTTGCCTTTTGGCTGCGTGCAAGTGGGTCCTTGTGACACACGGGGATGGGGGCAGCCAGCGCTCAACCTGTCATCCACGTGGCTGGCCTTGTACGTAAGAGGTTATGAACAGGTGGAGCTTTCCTTACCTCCTTCCCCTTCCCCTTTTTTCCTTTTCCTTTTTTCTTTTCCCTTTTTTGCGCTCTGATTCACAATGTGACAATATATATCGATATATATATATATTCATACAAAAAAAGAATTTGGACCGTTTCTCGATTTATGTCTGCCAGCCATCGTTGAAGGCGCAGGGGGTCCATGCTACCGTAGTCTTATGTGTCTCGTTCTAATTGTAACGGGATCGGATGTCCCGACCTATCGAACGGTCGCAGGCGCAGGTGGTGGGTGATTCGAGGACACCACAAGATTTATGCTTATGCGTGTCATCCTGCCAGCCCTCCTGACCAACAAACACACGCACCCAATCATATAGATAGCATCCACAATCACCTCTTCTCCTCTCTTCTCTTCAATTGATAGATACGAGGGGCCGGAATCGTCGTCCTCTCGTTAATCACCGCCATCATCCTCTTCTCTTCTCTGGCAAAAAACCACCATGATTGCTGATGACGTCATCCTCAGCGTCGCAATCACCTCGCACATATAGTTATCATCGTCATCATCTCCGGGATCGCGGTCACATTCATCTACGTACCGATTCCCCAGAGTCTTGTACCGCCGATCGCGATCATCATCACCTCGTCATCCTCATCGTCGTCGCCATCGCCATCGCCATCGCCACATCTTCTTGTCGTTCCCCGTTACCGCCGCCGGGACCACCATCGACGATCCTCTTGAAGCGATCATTGGTCCATCGGACGGATGGCCTCCGTGACGACGAACACCTGCAATTTGGCATCATCGCCTGCGCCTGTCCCAAGAGACGGCGGCAATCTACGGCCCCCAGCCAGCGATCCCGTGGTCGTGAGAATCACTGACAGGAAGGTGACATTGATGTCGGAGACCGACCCTACTTCACTGTATGCCCTTTGTCGCCGTTGGGTAAGGAATGATAGACCTAAATCGAAAGACGATCTGTTGCCTAGAAACGGGCCTCCTATTAGATTACCCAATCCGTTAGCGGTGAGCGAATGCGACGAAAAAGTATCCGAATCGTCTGATAAGAAAGACACATCGGACGGCTGTAGTGCAGCAACTCCGCCGGCGGCGGCGCCGCCGCCGCCGCTGCCGCTGCCGCCAACGGCGGACAGGGAGGGGGAGGGTGAAGAGGCAGCGAATAACAATGACAAGGATGGCGAGGGCAGCAAAAAGAAGGATGACGATGATGACAAGGATTGTTGCGACGCTGCTGCTGCTGCTACTGATGCGGATGCTGCCGATGGTGCTGCTGACTCCGTAGCCGAGAAAGATATAGAGAAAATGAGCGGGAAGGAGCTGTTCGCTTTGCACCGTCCGCACTTTGTCAACGTGCGCAAAAGGTTCATTTCCGACAGGCAACGGCGAGTGAAAAGGTATAAACCACGCCTCGCGCTCCTCCTTCCATCTAACGACTCAGAGGCTGCTCGCTCCGATGGTGTGGTTCATTCAGGGTCGTAGATGTTCTCCTTCATCTCGCTCTCTTTTTTTTCTTTTTTTTTTTCCGTAGAAACTCTAAAGCGTGCGGTTGGCAGCCTGTACTACATCTTCTTTCTCCGTAATCTTGTTGTCATCATCGTCATTGTCGTCACCGTCGTCATCGTCATTGTTCGTCTTTTTTTTTTTTTTTGGTCATTGTCAATCTTGATGTAGTTACATGATTGCAGAAGCGGAATGAAATGGCGGGATGACGTCACCAGAAATTAGAGACAGGAAAACACCACGGAAAAAAGAAACAGAGAGGGGGGGGAGGCGGAGGAGAGGGTTGGGTGGAGACGTTTTTTGGGAAGGGGGTGGGGAGGTTTGAGAAGACGCACTCCGTAGTCGTGAAATTCTGTGTTTTTTTCCACACTGTCGACCAAAGGACGTGCAATGTTTTTGTGTTTTTATTACTTAACTTTTTAATATATATATACTGTCGACCAAAGGACGTGCAATGTTTTTGTGTTTTTATTACTTAACTTTTTAATATATATATATGTACAGCCCCTCGTTTGTTGTCCTCTTCTCCCTCCCTCTCTGCCTACGGTTTACCGGCGGGCAGCTCTGTTTGACGATAAATATATTTATCACGTGCAATCTAATCGCCAATGGTGTACATGTGCGGCCATGATGATCGTCAGGAGATATATAGATTTTCTTTCTGTTTTTTTTTTTTTTATTCCTTTTTTTAGAGCAAAAAACTTAGAGCGAATGTTTGATAGTAGTGGGGAAAAAAAAAGGGTTTTGATCATGGCTATGGTAATGCAGTGTTGACGACAACAATATTACCAATAGCAGAGAGTGCGGTGGTGGCCAGTCGTTTTCGATGGAATACCACCGCTGTTTGGCTCTTCTCTTTCTCCTTTTTCTTGTTTGGCGGAGGAAGGCTTCTAGATTCTTTGTATTTGGACGACATTTTTATTTGAGCAAAAATAGACGTTGATTGCCTTGTACGTTTTTTTTTTTTTTTTTTTTTTTTTTTTTTTTTTTTTAAATGTTTTTTTTTTTTTTTTTTTTTTTTTTTTTTTTTTTTTTTTTTTTTTTTTTTTTTTTTTTAAAGAGTTGTATTTTTTGAACTCCTCCCTTCATCATATGCAAAATTCTAAATTTCGTATTGATACTCTTATTCCCGCCACTGCAATTGTTTATTTCGTATGCATATTCAAATTTCAGCGCGTACTCACACTAGCTGTATGTTAAGTGTATCTGACCATATTTATGCGTGGATGTGGATGCATCTGACCGCCATTACGTCCGTAATTAAGTAAAGAAGTCCCTAGTGTGATAATGCCCTCAGTTACTCATTATCATCCTCGTTCTTTGTCATTTCCCGCCACCGCAATTGGTATCAATTGAATGTCAAGAAGAAGAAGAAGGAAAAAAACGAAACGAAAGAAGGATTTTTTTTTTTCCTTCTTGCATTGAGCTCCTTGTTTTCGCGCGCATTCTTAAACCACGACTACTGTCTTCAGCGGAATACAACGCCCGGTCATTATAGCTGTACTTGACACAACTTTCAGCCCAGATACGGCGATAATTGCCGGGCGTTCTATTTGGATGAAGATGGTACGGTACCTTTGACAGTGTTGGAAAAATGGGAAAACATCCTACTCCGGGGCTAGGTGATAGCAAAGATCAACGGCCAGAATCTCTTAATCCGTGCAAGTGGGACCTTGCCCCCGAATAGGAACCGGACTGACGCTCCCCAGAATGGAAAGGAGCCAGGACCATAAGGACCTGTTTTGAAAAAAAAAAAAAAAAAAAAAGTTATGCGGAGGCTCGGCAAAAAACAAACTGTTTAGAAACAAGACTGAAGCAGGGGGCGTGGCGGCCGGCACCTGGAGCGCCCAAGTTAGCCGGCGCCTGGAGTGCCCAAGTTAGCGCTAGTAGTTTACGCTGCTCTGGTCCATTGCATAGCGCACCGCCATGATGTTTTGGCGATTGTGTAGCCTTCTCGCTCGGTAACTTCCAAGGAACCAACCCGCATGGGAAGGGAGGTAGGCGTCACACGGATCAGCCTTTCAGATAGTCGCAATATCGTGCTAAATGGTCTACGTGTTTACGTGAGAGTTGGAGATTTGACTGGGCGTGCGCCGTTCATAGGTGCCCGCCGCTGATGTGGAACCGCGAGTAGGGATAGGGAAGAAGACTAGTCTTGCAAGTTTGGAGTTACACCTAGGAGCATAGGGACAAGACGACGAGATGGAGCAGGAAAATCGTCAAGCAAGGCCGGAGGCAAATGAGGTGCCGATGTCGGAGGAAGATCGCATCAGAATTCTAATAGCGAAATGTTACGAGGATGTGGTCTTCCCAGAGAACTTACGACATGGAGAGTTCGTCATCGAGAATGGGACCCGTATCTTCAAAGTCAACACACAAATTGACAAGTTAACGACGACATGGCTAAAGGAGAGGACGGTGATAGTGATTTTCCAAGGAGAAGCGAGAGACTTGCCGATGAGAACCAGAGAAGACCTGATTCGGGCGTATGAAAATGGGTGGCAAAGAAAGAAGACATTCACGAGAGGTTTTAAACGAGGAAGAGTTCATGGGGAAGGGCCGAATGTGCTGTCTTATGTTGCGAAGTCCAGGGAGGTGGCACAATGGCTAGTGGCGAAGGCGGATGATGTGGTGGTAATTAGAGGGGTTGAATATAAGATGTTGTTTAAAGCATGGATGACAAGGGCGGAGCTGGAGGAGCAGAGAAGAAGAGACGACGAGACAAAGTTCTGGGTGGTTGCCCTGAGAGTGCTGCTTCGTGCCATGTTCCATGTGGGGGGACCTCGTAACACAAGCCATGGGCCCGATCATCACTCGGCACCCCCCAGAGCCGGATGCTACCAGACCCAAGCTCATGAACTTGAAGTTTGAGCTTGCAAGAGAAACCGAAGAGAAGTTTGAGGCAATCCTCCCAATGAAGTTGGACGATGGGGAGCTATATAACGTCCAGTTTGTGAACAAAAACACGGCGTGGTGCACTCGCTGCAAATGGTGGTTTCATACGGAATCCGATGGCTGCCCAAGAGTCGAAGAAGCAGCGCCAGGTGATCAGGAAGCATTTGGAGGATGAATGCGAAGGCCACAACAAGGCGAGGTGGTTTTAGATCGAGGAATCAGGTTGGCGGCGAGAGATCAGTTCAGCGCTACACCAAGCGGAGGAGAGTCCAGTGCAGCAGCGAAAAGAAGACTTGGGGGCCCCGCGCAGCTGGCAAATGGACCGGGGGATTGAACAGCCGCTCCGACAAGAGATATCCCGATCAGGCCACAGTTCATGGCGCAGGATGCAAGGGATCCACACCAGCTCGCGTCAGCAGAACAGCTGAGACGGTCAGACGTCCGGATGGGTTCATGGGCATCTGTCCCCGGAGCCAGCGATCCATGTCTAGCAGCCATGATGGGCTCACACATGTGGCTTCATCCACGAGGGGGAGATGCAAGATACGGTCAGTGGACGAACCCAGCCCTCAGCGGTCTCCAAGGAGGGCACCAGTACTACTCCCCAGGTTTGTCCCACGGTCAGAGATATGACCACTCAGCCTTCTCTAGACCAGTCCAGGAGGTCCTACGTCCTCTATCAGGGGTGGTAGAGAGTGGTGGGGGTGGATGGCGAGGGGCAGGGAAGGAATCAACTCACCACAGCCGATGGGTCGTTATCTACTTCGGTGCAAGAGCGTAGCGCGACACTTCACAGCGAGGAAGAAGAAGATGACAGCAGATAGAATCCGGTCCCTAATGGAGTGACTTCAAGGGATGTAGGTGAACATCAGTTCGAAGAGAAATTCTTACTCCCTTTGATCTGTACTCTATTAGGACAGGAACCGTATATCCTTGGCCTTGTTAATAGACAAGGAGGCATTGTCCTTCCATCCACACCGTTCTGTGGTATCCCCACTCCTGAGTTGATCGAAGCCAGAGTGAGGCAGATTTTTGCCGATCGCTTTTGCTTTAGGATCTTCCCAGAAGAGATCATGCCCAAGCTGACGGTTGATACGCCCGCAGGGAAACGGATTAAGTTTTTTATTCCCTTGATTGATGCACGGATCCCGATGCAGCACTGGGCAGGCCTGCCATCGGTGGGACTAACCTGTATTCCCCTCCGGCTGTTGTTAGGCATTCCAGCAGATGAGCTCGATAGTGTTTTAGTGGAGCCAGGGGTCTCAGCTGCCTTTCTCAGAGCTTTAAATGAGCATATGCCGTTGGACCGGAATCTGCAATCGGAGTTCATTCCCGAAATACTGGCAGGGAAATGGCAGAGTACCAGCCCATCTCAGGAGAGGGAAGGTACGGAGCAGGCAGAGCAAGGGCGGATCCAAGATGAGAACGCAGCGGTGACCACCAGGGATGGAGCGAATTAGAGTAGGAACATGGAATGTGAAAGGTTTGGGAGACACAGGGTAAACAGAAAGGGAAGAGGTTGAAGAGGTGGATCCAGGAGAAAAGTGGACATCATGCTACTCCAGGAGACGAAGCTATCTGAAGCGAAGCTGGCCCAACTGGCAGATTGGTGGGATGGCCCTCAACTATGGGCCCCAGCACGGGGCTCTAGGGGAGGGACAGCTATCCTGGTTCAAAAGAGTCTGGAGGCGGAATTAGTGGACTATGATGGCTAAAACTACTAATTGATGATATTGAGACTGTAGTAGCCACGGTCTACGCACCGAACGAACCGAAAGATAGGCTGGTATTTATCAAATCTCTCCCCTACTGTCTTCCAAGGTCAGATAATATGATTATAGGGGGGGATTGGAATTTGGTGTGTAGCCCAGGATTGGACTCGGAGGCTGAGGAGGGTTTGAAAAAGGACAGAGAAACCTTCTTCCTGTGGAGGGAAGCCTGGGGTTTGACGGATATCTTCAGGGAGTTATATCCCCTAACTCTAGACTTCACCTGGTTTTCAAGCTCCGCAGCCGCGGCAGGAGCAAGGCGGAGGCTTGATTTTTTCCTGACCTTCGGGTGTTTCACCCAGCAAACAGTAGCTGTCCAATCCTTCCATGCAGGGATGTCGGACCATAAGCTGGTTAGATTGGAAGCCAGACTCACACGACACACAGAGACTAGAGGCCCTGGCTACTTTAGACTGAACACAGTCAACTTGGAGGATGAGGATGGAGGGTTTGGACCACCCAACATTGGGAGGCATGGAGAATGGCAAGGGGAGACTTTGATTCCTATGAAGACTGGTGGGACGCTGGCTTGCGGATTATTTCCGCTAAGTTCGAGACCTTCTCAAGGATTGCTGCATACCTGCGAAACAGAGATGAAAGAAGGCTGGAAGCAAGGGTGGATGAGGCAGAGAGGAATATGAGGGGTCATCCAATCTTGGAACTAGTCTGGGCAGAGGAGAGGGCGGCCAGAAGAGCAGCAGCAAGTACTTAAACAGTCCAGGTGGGAGTTGATTCTGCAGGAAAAGGGAGTTGTCACACGGGACAGAATGACGAAAGAGTGCTTCCGGAGGCTGCTGCCAAGCTGTAACAGAGTCCAAATGACAGAGCTCCAACATCCCCATTTGTTGGGCTTTCCAGCAGCACACACAAACGAGGATTTGTGCGAGTACGCAGCAGACTATTTCAGGGACATCTTGACGACCCGCAAGACCTTTTGGGACTGGGAAACTGACCTCACGGAGGAAAGTACCTTTTGGGAAACTCTCATAGTCAGAGTCTCAGCTCAGGAGAGGAGAGACATGGACAGGCCAATAACTGCAGAAGAACTCAGGGAAACCATCAAATCCATGGCAAAAGGAAAAGCGCCAGGAGACGATGGTCTACCGATTGAGTTCTTCCAGGCCTGTTGGGGGACATTGGAAGCCGATGTAATTCAACTGTATAACGAGATCCTAACAGGCGGGAAGCTGGGGAAGTCAATGACGAGGGGAATAATCATCCTAATGTACAAGAAGGGAGACAGATCCGATGTGAGAAACTAGAGACCAATATCGCTCTTAAATGTGATCTATAAGATATTGGCGAAAGCTCTGGCTCGCAGGCTGGGCAAGCTGCTGCCTAAGCTGGTGGGAAAAGATCAGGGGGCTTTCATCCAAGGTCGATCCATCTTCGAGAACATTGCAACAACAATGGAAGCGCTGGAATTAATCGAAGGGAAGGACCTCGATATTGCAGTCTTAATGATCGACCTCGAAAAGGCCTACGATCGGGTAAATTGGACTTTCGTAATGACTACGCTCAGAGTGTTGGGGTTTGGAGACCCATTCTGCAGCTGGGTTAAAGCACTATACGCGTATGCTACAGCAGTTGTGCAAGTGAATGGCGTCAGTTCCTAGGAGTTCAAACTGTCTAGGTCGTTACGGCAGGGGTGCCCGCTGGCACCTCTGTTGTTCGTCTTTCAGTTGGAAGTACTTCTGTGCGCCATCAGAGCCAACCTGAGTATCAGAGGCCTGGAGCTGGCAGGAGGAAGAGACTGCAGAATCAAGGCGCTGGCAGACGATCTCCTGGCGATTGCGGCCAACTCCAGAGACTCCCTGGAAGCTTTACGAGCCAGCCTGCAAAAGTACGAGGACTTATCGGAAGCAGCAATAAATTGGAATAAATCCAATTTCTTCCTTCCAGAAGCGTACCAGCTCTAAGCTCAGTGGGGGATGAAGAGGGTCCCGGTGAATGCTGCTGAAAGGTTTTTGGGGGTCTTAGTGGCACTTGAAGACTGCTCCTCTGCGCAAGATCTCGTCCTGCAAGAAAGAGTCCAGAATAGAATCAAGAGCTGGGGAAGGGCTCCTCACCTATCTTTGATGGGTAGGGCCCTGGTCACCACAGTCTCAGCATTCTCGTTGCTGTGGTATGTACTCAGGGTATGTAAGCTCTCAAATGCAGCACTCAAGAATATTAGAGCAGCAGCAATGAAGTTCATTTGGAAGCCGCAAGCGGACGGTGACCAAGGATACATCGCTAAAGTCGCTTGGGATACAGTTTGCAGACCAAGGGAGGAGGGGGGTCTGGCCATCATGGACCCTGGATCCCAAAACTTGGTCCTACTGTCGAGCTGGGTACAAAAGGCGGCAGAGGCAGAAAGCGCTCTGGACTGGTGCCTGTTGGCGGAGTGAATCCTGCAGAAGGAATGGGGCCTGAGCAGGCCCTCGGATGTCTGGGTCGCATTGATGATGGACTCGTTCCTCAAGAAAAAGTTTAAGTCCAAGTTCTGGAGTAACGTGTTATCTGCGTGGAGTAAAACAAAACCGGATGTAAGAGTGGTCTTTCAGACGAAGGACGAGGTGATGAACCAGCCCCTGTTCGACAACTACCTCATTAGGGACACTGAAGGAAAGTACTTCTACGCCACAAAATCCCAAGGGAACTTTGGACAGAAGTGGGTGCAAAGAGGAGTCTCCGTCGTGGGGGACCTATGGGACGACAACACAAATCAGTGGCGTCCAGAAGCTGAGTTGAGGCAGAAGCTGGGAAGATTACCACTGCAGGAAGTTAGAAGACACCAGTTGATAGCTGCAATTCCGGAAGAGTGGAAGATCCTCTTAGGACCAGAGAGAATAACCCCCCCTGGAACCTGGTTGAATCCGACGACAGATCAGGGCCAACCACAGTTCCTGCAACTTAGAGGCTGGCATGAGGATTGTAGTGGTAAGTGTGATGTAGACATCTACAATAGAGTAGAAGAACACAGTGATATTCTAGCTTTGTACCAATCAACCACGAGATGGGGTTTGGGAGGCTTGGAGGAAATCCGGGTGAGAGCAGTAAAGCTACAAGGGAGAGGAGAACCGTCAGTTTACAAGTTGGTAGGGGGTGGAACGCCTAAAAGGCAATTGAGAATAGACCCACTGATGTGGGGATGGCGCTCAGGAGCTGAAACGGTTCAGGACCTGCTGAAGATGTCGACGAACCTGATCAGAAGCAGAGTTCCCTAAGGATAAACTAGTTGCTAAACTGCAGGCCCGCTGGGAAACAGCACAGCCCTCAGTAAAGGTGCCAGAAGACAGAGAACTCTCAAGGTTGTGGGGGCAACGAGTATCCATCCCTTCTCAGAAGTATGCTTCCCTGCTTTGGCTTCAATCCCACAATGCTGTACCTACAGCAAGATGGCTGGAGAATTGGGGCATGAATGTTAACCTCAGATGCGATCGGTGTAACTGGCATGTTGAGACGATGACCCACCTATGGTGGGACTGCCCCAGATCGCAGAAGTGGTGGAACTGGTGGTTCCAGCACTGGAAATTGATACAGAATCATGCATAGAAAAAAACTGGATGGTGAGCAACGTGGAGCCCATTCTGGCGCAATTTGGGTGGGGAGGGGTGTTACTCGGGTTGGGCAGGAGTGGTTTTTTTGTGGAGCAGTGTGTGTGTATAGGGCTTGCCTCTTTGTTGTTGGGCACAGGGTAAAGTAAGGGATGATGGGGCGCGGCTTTGGAGATGGCGAGGGGCTGCAGGACATCCCTCCTGCTCTGCAGCCCTTTGTTGACCACGACACATTACTGGTGGAAACGATTCCGCCAATGGTGATGGTGGCTCTCTATAAAAGCCATCTGGCAGACATGCTACAGATGATGGCGTATGCACGAGGGAAACTGCCATTTGAATCTCTGCTGGACGGTGATGCATTCTTCGATTAATGGGAGGCTGAACTGATTTCGTACAGTCTTTCCACATTCTTCACAACAACTGGACAGCACCGATGACGAACAGGTGGCAGCCAATTTGCAGGAGTGCCTTTTCATGCTTCAGGAGCTGCGTGCAAGTTTCTCACAGTCTCAGACAGCGATTGAAGGTGGCTCTTGTACCAGGGGCTCTACTGCGACGACAGGTCACACTCCGTCCAATTTGTGGAGAGTGGCGATAGCGCTTCGTCCGCCCAGCCGGTCCTATTTGGAAACAACAAAGATGATGAGGAGGGAGGCATCCAGCGAGATGGGGTTGCTGGAGATATTGATCGAGAGGGCGCTGAAGATACACCTCGACGTTGCCACCCCCGTGACCAGCAACAAAATCAACATCATCTACAAAGCCTTGGCGAGGCCGTAATGCTCGAGGCAGCTCCTGTACAGTCACAACGTTCCCAAGGGCAGCAGTCGAAGGGAGTGATGATGATTAACGATCTGGGGGCTATCCACAACTCCCCCTCTGTGAACTTGGGGGCAGGAGCGGGTGAGATAAATCAGCGCGAGATAGACGATACGCAGTGCAAGGAGAGGAGGTACAGCATGCTGATGATTAGGCACAGCGCGAAGGTCCTGGAGCACAATGGGAGGATGTGCAATTACAGCAACTGGTGCCTACTTCCAAAGTATTCTCCCCTGTGATGCTAGTGGCTGGATCCACTGTGATGAACGAGCAGGGCATTGAAGAAACACAGTGGAAGAGAGCTAAGACACAGCTCCCCACCAATAGATGGAGCCTCTCCCTAGGTGTTAGTGGTGTCTGCTCTTATCAGCAGCACTAGCACTGGCGGGGGCATTTTAAAGAAAGGACACAGCATGAGTCTGTTCAGGCGCAATTACAACAC